GTTATGCACAAACAATGAATCATGGAACACTACATCTAAAACTAATGATGTAATGTATGGGGATTAACATTACATTAAAAAAATAATAAAAATTTTAAAAAAAGAGCACTTAAGAGCTAAAAAAAAAAAAAGTTTTCCATCTCTGAATAAAATTAGGTTTGCACAGGCCCCTTGCTTGGGCCCTGAGTGTAAGGAAACACGACTCGAGGCCCCCGTGCTCCGTGGGAGGGCTGGGCCTTTCTCCTGTCTGTGCTTACTGCATCTCTGGTCCACAGAGGTGCGGAACTATATCTGTGATGAGTGTGGACAGACCTTCAAGCAACGGAAGCACCTTCTTGTCCACCAGATGCGCCACTCAGGAGCCAAGCCTCTGCAGTAAGTGTGGGGATGGGCACCTTCTCATGGCCACACTGGCCCCCATGCCCTTGCTCACCTGACCCTGTCCCCCAGGTGTGAAGTCTGTGGCTTCCAGTGCCGGCAGCGAGCATCCCTCAAGTACCACATGACTAAACACAAGGCTGAGACTGAGCTGGACTTTGCCTGTGACCAGTGTGGCCGGCGGTTCGAGAAGGCCCACAACCTCAACGTGCACATGTCCATGGTCCACCCTCTGACGCAGACCCAGGACAAGGCCCTGCCCCTGGAGCCACCGCCTGGGACTGTGGAGGGCCAGGCCGTGAAGCCCGAGCCTACCTGAACTCCGGTGGTAAATGGGGTTAAGACAGTTTCAGTAGTTCCTCATACGCACCCAGACAGCACAGCTTTGCTCGCTCGCTCCCCTGGAGCCCCCATGCTGTACCCCCCCAACCTGTGTGTCAGGAGGGCATTGATCTGCAGTATGGTGACCGTGGGCTCAGTGTGCAACTCACGTAGCCTTTCCAGCCTCCACTCTGGGACCAGCATTTTCCTACAAATACTGAATGACTCGGGGCCAGATGAATTTTAAATAATTGATTCCTATTCCCCACTAAAGCAATCAAGGAGATTTGTAATCCACTTTTTAGTGCAAGAGCTCCATGTTATGCTTGTAATAAATTATTTACCAAGGAGCTGGGCTGTGCGCTGCGCAGGGTCCAGTCAGAAGAGATGGGGCTCCTGGTAGAGGTCGGCATCGGGCAGCGCCTGCTGTCTGCTCCGGAGGGCGGCACTCACTTCCGGGTCACAGTGTCCACTGGTAGCCAGCAGCTGCAGGAAAACAGCTGTGCTCAGCCCAGTGCAGCCCCCAGACACCAGGGCCTGAGGACGGGGAGCTGGCCACCGGAGCCCAGCAGGTAAGTGGCCACAGTGCAAGTGCTGGACACCAGATTCTCGTTTTACTTGAGGTGTTGCAACTTCAACACTCTTAACGTGTCCACACACACCAAAGCAAGCATCTGGGTGTTACCTCTGCCATGTTCGAGAAGCTCTTTTTTGGGCACCTAGGTATTGATTGCAGCAGAAAATGACGAGCTTTTGTTATCAAGCCTACGGGGTCACCCTGGAGAGAGGACAGGCAGAGACACAGGTCAGGGTGTATACTGTAAGGGTCACGATGCCCCCACCTGCTCACTCTGCCAGGACAGCTGGCTGCACGGGTCTGTGAGCTGTGTCACCTGCCTGGCCCTGGAGCTCCTGGCTCCTGCCGGCTAGAGCCGAGACCACACTTGTCTCCCCAGCCACGAAGAGACAGATCAGCTTTAGGTACATGTCGACAGCAACACGCAGGAAGGCATCTTCCCTCATGAGGGCGTCTTCATCAAAATAGGAGAGAAGGCTGAAGGTAAGAAAGAAGATGCCTCGTGACTCCAAGATCGAACAGAGGTGAGTGGCCGTAAGCACTGAGCAGCGACTCCTCTGAGGAATGGAGTTCCAGGCATCTTTCCCGTTTGGAGGGTGATCCACAGTGAAACTGATAGATGATTGGGCTGGGGTGACCCCTCCTCTGACCACACACAACCCCCCGGGTGGGAACTCCGCTGAGAGCGCGTTGCGACACTGACCCGCGGCAGGTGCAGTTACCTGTAGAAGGCAAACGGCAGCAGCCTGATGTATGGATCTGGGGCCAGGCGGAGGAGGACATGCCCCAGGCCACCCTCTGCAACCAAAGGGGGTTAGGCTTAGCTCTGTAGCCACCTCCCCACCCCAGGATCAGCATGTTCAGGAGACCTCAGGTGCCTGGCTGGGAGGGGTGGTGATGTCCTCATGCTGAAGGGCAGAGCCTGGGGGGTAGACCCCCCCCCATGATGGCCCAGTGCCACCCTGGGTCCCCCTAGTACCTCACTCAACTCTTTCGTTGTTTAGATGAGTTTGTACTGCATTTAGCCTAAAATGTGGTTTATATACTTAGCAAGAAGATAGACTTTGAAAAATGAGTTAGTAAATTAAGGCCCAGGGATTCATACTTAACCATTGGAAAGTTATTTTTGAAAAAGGACTAAATAAAAAGTGGGGATCGCAGCCTGCCTTTGCGGATCACCTGTGTTCCCAGTAGATGGCTGGTAACCGGGACAGACACAGGCTGTGCCCTGCTACCAAGTCTCAGTGCTGTCTTACCTGTCTCTGTCAACTGAAAGAGTACCAGCCAGGATACCTTCTTCTTCTCCAAACACCCCAGGATCTCCGCACATATGTCCAAAGCCTTTAGGGAGTCCACAGCCTGTGGCCCACAGAAGAGGGAGGCTGACTGTCTGCACAGACAGGCACACAGTGGGGAGAGGGATGACCTCCAGCCCAGAAGGGAGCCTTTGCTCATTCTGTTGAGTCTTGAATGGTGACTGTAGGAGGAGCAGGTCAGGGACCCCTGTGCTCAAGTTCTGAAATGAGACCTCAAAGGAGAGGCCCAGGGCCAGGGGGTTCTTGCTTCAGCAAGCACAAGGCTCCTGAGGAGCCCTTCAATCAAAGGTTCCAGGGCCCTCCTCCCAGAAACCCTGAGTAGGGAGGTCTGGGGGTGGGAAAGGGCCACCTTACCCGATGTCTTAAGTGTGGGGTTAGATGTGATGAAAGCAGGCCCATTAAGGAGAAGAAAAACAGGACAACCAGCAGCTGCAAATAAGACCAGTGCCTTCAGAACATGAAAACCACCCAGGCTGTACCCTCAATCAGTAAATCTAAGTAAGGAATGCAGATGCTGTTCTCTGACCAAACATTTATAGGCAGAGGGCATAAATCTTTCCTCTAAGTGCATCTTCTCAGGAAGGAAAATTTTAAAGAGGCAGTCTGAGAATAAATTCTTACAGACGGCATCATTTTACATGTGCCTTTAAACACAGCTTGGAAAAGGGACCACAGGGAAGAGCTGTGCTGTGGCTGAGGGTGTCCGTGCAAGCTGTCAGCACCTCAGTCTGGTGCAGCGAGCCGCCCCCGGCCCAGCCCCACTCCCGGGCTCCTTGTCTAGAAGGGTGTGTGTTTGTAAAATCCCTAGAGGTAAACGCACAGGCCCCCTCCTGACCCGAGGCAGGGGTCCACCTCTTCCCAACCCCGTGTCTGGACACCTCTTCTCAGCACACACAGGCCTAAGAGGCTTGAGGCCACTGAAATCACTTTGAACAAAAACAAACTTAAAAGAATCTCCCTTGTGGGTTTTTTTTTTTTTTTTCCCATTAAATTACCAAAAACCACAGGCAGGCCTGTACGTCCTGAGCTCACAGGTTGACCTTCCAGTTTACAAATGGTTTATTTAGTTGGGGGAGAGATGAAGGAGCCAAGGCTGTGGGGAACAGGGACAAAGAAGGTCCCATGGGGCAGCTGATGACAGCCCTGCCCTGGGTTTAGGGAGGATAAAAATAAGCTAAGCAAAATCAAAAGTGAAACACGAAAGGTATTCTTTCTACCAGTAAACTTGAGAGTGAAATATTACAAAATCCATCAGCCTGGTAAATTCTGCTTCCTAAGAAAGTCACAAGAATACCATACTCCCTGTCTGTTCTTGGAAAAGCACAATTCATTAGGTGAACCCTGAGAAACTCAGCTGATCGGAACACTGATTAAAAACAAACTTGGTAGAAAAGAAAGAAGTGAAAGAATTTCGTTTCTTGCCTCCTCTCTTTGGCAGTCCAGCTTCTCCAGCTGGCTCTTGATGCTGTTTTCCCCGGCTTGCTGGATTGCGAAGTGGAGTGAAGCAGCAGAGACCCAGGCCGGGCCCGGTGGGGGGGACGCCAAGTCAGGAGAGAGGCAGCTAGGAGACAGATGCGTCACCACAGGAGCATCATAACCACATCCTGGTGGAAAGCCACCAGCCCTGCCCACCTCAGCTGGGGCAGCGAGGGGCTCTAGAGTCCACAGAAACAAGGTCTACGTCTCTCACCACCCCTGGCTCGGCATAGGGACCTAGAGCCCGGTGTCAGCCTCCTTCCCTTAGGGTCCAGTGTCCAGTTTCCCTAACGTGCTTCTGTGCCATGGATGTGAGGACAGGGTAGGGCCTGACTGGGACACTTGGTCCTGACTGCCTGAGCTTTGCAAGGAGGTCGTGGGACACGGGACTCTCACCTGGAGCCCACCACTCACACCCTTGGCTTCTGGGTCCAGTCCTCCTCCTCAGTCCCTGCTGTGACTGCAGTGTGGTGCTCAGAAAGGTGTCCCAGCAGGTTAAAAACAGGCCAAAAATCAGTGGAATATAATGTAGCAGTTGGCATTCCTTGTTTTCTGGGATTTTGAGCACTCTGGACACTGTAGCCATGCACAGGGATAAAAGGAGGCCAGATGGGACCACAGTTCTCCCCCAAACCAGCACATGCCGGGGACGACCAGCTGGGCAGGCCAGGTGGGGCGGAAAGCTGCGCAGCGACCCGCCAGGTCAGGTCTGTCCCTTCCCTTCCATGTGGGTCCTGCCCAGCCTGCCCTAAGGCCTCTGTCCGCCATCCCAAGGTATTCACGGAGGGAACCTAGAGCAGGTCCTAAAGAACATCTGTGCTCCCTCTCCTTGTTGCACGCACCTCCTGCCAAACTGCTGGGCCTCCCACAGCCTCTGCAGCTCTTGGGGCAGTGGGCCCTGGAAGCATCTCGTCCACCGGCTGCGAAGTTCAGGCTCCAGGCGTGGCCACCACAACTTCCAGGAGAGAAAGATCACCAGTCAGCAGATCAGGGGAGGCTATACTTGGACCCTCTTCAGTCCCTACAGCCAAGGTGTGGAACCCTGGAGTGACCACTGGAGATGTGCGTGAGACCAGCTGACGCCGGCAGCATGGCTCATGTTCCCCCAACACCTCCTATTTAAGCACCGTGTCATGTACTCGATTTAAGGTTCAAGGCAGTTCCATGAGCTATCTCCTCCTCATCTGTAGAGGACACGGATGTCCGCCTGAGAGCTGGTGTTTTACACACACAGTAACTTCTGCACTGAATTCCACCCACATGAGCCACAGACTACATGGAAAGCTGAACACTCAGGGGCCGTGGCAGCACAAGTCCTACGGCTGCTAGGAGAGCTGCGTGTCGTCAGCACGCCAGGAGAGCCAGCGAAGGCCCCCCGGGGAACCCCACACCCACGTGAGGGCCGGGCAGCAGGGGACTGGGCCACCTCTCTTCCGGTCCTGAGATGGTCGTCTGTCAAGACAACAGGTGGAGCCCAAGTCGGGGAGCTCAGGCAATTAGGGTTCACCTTCAGCCAACGCGGAACCAGAGTGAAGCAACACCCAGACACTGTTGTCCAGCAGGCGTGGGCAGGGAAGCCCGTCATCCTCCCTGCTGATGGCTTCGCTTTACCCCCCATTTCTCTGCATGCATTTTCTCCTCAATGACAAGAACCAGGATGCTGCCCTGGGCCCCCAGTCCCTGTGCCAGCCCCGGGCGCACCCCAAGAAGGCGGCTGCACCTACCAGAGCAGAGGTCAGGACTATGGGGCACTCAGTCTGGCACGCGGTCAGGATCAGGTCTGCGGTCCGGGAGGGGTTTCTGCTTTGTGAACAGGCGCTGAGGAGCCCCTGCAGGAGAGGACATGCCAGAAGCTCAGTGGTTTGCATGTGTACCCCGCTCCTAAAAGGCACCAGGGCTTCAAAGCCCCACTGGCTATGAGAGTCCAGCCAAGTGGTGGGAGGTGCTGGGGGCAACAGAATTACCCTGAAGAAGTGGACGGTGATGTCATGGGTCAGAGCACCTCCATGGGAGCAGAAGTTTCTCTGCAAAAGAGCACAGGCCAGTGAGAAAGGAACCAGTGGGGCAGGGGGTGAGAGCGGAGGCAGTGTGTGCCGAGAGGCTTTAGCTGTGCTCACGGCACCGCTGCTGACCACAGAGGTCCAGCTTCATGTCCGCCCTCATGGCTAGCCCAGGATCTGGCATCTCTCTGCCTATCCATGCAGCTCCTCTGTGCAGCAAGACCCCCCAGCCTGCCCGCTTCGGCCCCAACACAGGTCAGGAGGCCGGCGCGCACTCCCTGATGGCCCTGTTACTGGGATGGCAACCGGCCTCCCCAGCTCTGGGTTCTCTGTTCTGCCGGCCTTCACGGGCCCTTCTGACAACGTTAAGGAAAACAGCCCTTGCTAAGAACCCCAGGAACACGTAGTCTCATCTCTCCTGCTTTCTGAGTCACCGTTTAAAGCTGTGTGTCACTGAATGGAACCTTAGTTCAATCTCTAGTTGTCTTTGTGCATTTTTAAAAACTGGAAAAACATCTTCAGGAATAGAAGCTATTCTGAAGTGTGTAGGACGTGCTTATTCCTGGTGCCCTCACTGACCCTGACTGGATGCATGCAGGCTTTGGTCCTTCTGGGTAAGATGATGGAGCACCTGACACTGAACAGTGTGTACAACGGAAGGAAGCAGGGCCGACCGGTGGGAACGGCAGTCTTCTCAGCACCACCGGCTTTTGTGTGCCTGAAACGTCAAAACTGGAAAGAACTGGAGATGCTTGGTCTGCATGAGTTTATGGATCTTGATGGCTGAACGTCGAGGAAAGCTCTAGAAAGGGACTGAAGCTTTGGAGGAAGGGAGCCACAGCTGGTCTCTGCACCTCACCAGCCCCGGTTCCAGCTGTGGGAGGAGGGCTGGGCACACAGCAGCCCCAAGTCTCGGCTCCCGGAGCGGTACCCCCATTCTTTCCCTCAGCAATCCCACGTGGTCTGCACACACACTGAAGCCGTTGGCTCAAAGTGACCAGTCACACTCGCGAATCTTCAAGAACCAGATCACCCCCGCCCCTGCATCCCGAGGTTGCTTGCCCACACCTACCAGCTCAGAGTTGACCAAGTGGAAGAACTCCGTGCAGTCAGGGGCGGCTGGCTCTTTGGCCTGGGGGCTGCCGACGAGAACAGACGGGGGCAGACCGAGGAGGATCCTTGCACGGAAAGAGCTGCGTCAGTGGTGACAGCACAGCCTCATGACTTGAGAGCGCAGACTCACCTCGGAAATGACCCTCCCTACTCACTCTGGCAAGAGTCCCCGTCTGGGGCTGTGTGCTGAGCACCTGAGTCCTGCAACACTCCCAATGTCTTAACCCCAAGAGCCGTTCTTAAGCGGCACAACCGCCAAGTAAAAGGGTGCACCCCAGTCTAACAGAGCCACTCCCGAGAACTGGGACATTTCACCGTCTCACACTCATAAACACATCTACAACGAGCATCTGTAAGCACACATGGTTTTCCTTATTTCGACATGCATTTTCTGGGCTACATCTTTCAACAAAGCAGCTCGTGGGTCTGAAGGGGCGGCTTTAATCCGAAGCTTCAGACCCTGCTCTCTCCATGGGAACCCCAAGGAGAAGACGGGGACGGGGGACAGAAACAAATGACCAGTGGAAAAGAAAATCAACGTAAAGACAGACTCCTCTATATGGTGGCACGTTACCATTTGTACACAAGCAGCTCCCGCTGTCTCTGAAGGTGGGCAGCCACATCCCACCCGCTTGCCAGAGCCTGGAGCCGTGTGCGGAACACTCTGAAAAGGAAGTGCTCCCGAGGAGAGCAACTCTGGGATGCTGCTGGGCCCTGTTCCAGGTCAGCAGCCATCTCCTGGAAAACACGAGACCAAAATGTTCACATACTTTTATCGCTGGTTCCACGTGATTGTCCTCAAATGTGAAGGCAGAAAGTTCCCAGGGCTTACTGTCAGCCCCAGTCAGGACTCTCAAAGGGGGCTGGGTGGGCTTGGGAGGGAGGTCTCCCAAAAGAAGCTAGGAATGAGTGGGACAAGCCTTTTTACGTGGAAATCATTGAAAATTTGCAAAAGTAGAATAAGAATAGTACAATGAACACCTTTACCAGATTCCCCTATGACTAACATTTTATCGATTATCATTTGTTTTTTCACTCTGCGTGTACAGGTGTTGCGTGCGCATAATTGGAGGGTGACTTGTGGACATAAGGTGTGTACACAGCAGGCACTCAATAAAGTGCCTGCTAACTGAAAGCATGCACATGTGTGCAGAGTCGGCACACGTTCAAATGCAGAGACAGAACAAGCCAAGCGCCCACGTCGCAGCACCAACCCTGCGGCGTGGGACCCAAGCCCCACGTCGCACTCTGCCTGCCACAGCCAGTTAGGATGGACGTGGAGGATAAAAGGTCAAGAGGAGGACTTGGAGGGCTGGGATCTCTTCTTTGTGGGGTTAGTTCTATTCCTTCGTAGGTAAGATTTCCCAGGGTCCCAGGCCACCCACTCCGTGGTTCCTGTCACTCCCCCCAGCTTCTCAAGCGCTTGAAGAGCAGCGCGAACACCACCAGGAAGTGTGAAATCCACACAAAGAATCCTGCCAACACGAAGCCACACGTGTACCTCCAAAGGTAGATTCCCCATGCACACTGTGGACACGGAGACCAGAGGGGGTCTGCACCTGGACCCCAGAGCCTACTCTCAGGGTCTTTCTATCGCCCGGACAAGACCTAAGGCTAACAGGCACTCTCACTGAAAACTGCACTCTTTACTTCAAAACGAGAGCCCCGTTTCCACGCCCTCCTAAGTGCAACTGCTTTGCTGAAACCCGCCAGCCTGTGGAGCTGCTAGGCGACCCTGTGAAAGAGCAGCCTCTCAGCCTCCTTTGTCATTTCTCAGAGCCTGACATCCAAATGAGCAGTCAAGAGCTAAAAAGCAGCAAGTGGTGGAGAGCAACGCTTACTACCAAAGTGGGCGTCTTCTTAGTTTCCTCTATTTTCAAATTTTAAATGTTCCTAAGGCTGGAGATGGTTCTGGCACCACAGCTTTTGTTTCTGTATTTTTGGGATATTCCCTGGTGAAGTGAGCACACTGTCACTCTGGGTCTGGTCCGTTACATGTGGGATGCTAGTTTTCATTCTGCTGGGCTGCCTTAAGACATTCATAGTAAATATCATCACAGCAGATGATACAAATGCAGTGAAACACACTGAGTTTTACATCTTCTAACTCACCTGCAATCTGGAAAAAATATCCCGATTTCCTGTGCAGCTACCGAGAACCAAATCAGAATTCTCTGAGCAGTTGTAACTCCTCGAACTGAAACAAAAACACAATAAAAGCCTCCTAAGTATCTCCAGATGTACAGGCGTTCCTACTTCTCCTCTGCCCCCAGAGTGGCGTGTGGTCACACAGCCAGGAGGTCCCAGGGGACCACATGACACCCACAGTCATCAACAAACAAAACAACCGTCTACAACAAAATACTAGCAACCCCAATCTAGTGACATCTAAAAACAATTATGTACCATAACCAAGTGGGATTTATTCTAAGAATGCGAGGTTGGTTCAACACCCTAAAATCAACATATCAATAGAATACACATATCAATAAATAAAAACCACGTGAACGTCTCAACAGACACAGATAAAACATTAGACAAAATTCAATACCCTTTCATGATAAAAACACTCAACAAACCAGGAGCAGAAAGGAACTTCCTCAACCTGATAAAGGCCGTCTATGAAAAACCCACAGCTCGTCTCATGCTTAATGATGAAAGCTTTCCTCCTAAAATCAGAAATAAGACAAAGTTCTCCTCTTTCACTGCTTCCATTCAATACCACTGGAAGTTCTAGCTGGGACAGTTCAGCCAGAAAAAGAAATAAAAGGCATCCAGATTGGAAAGGAAAAAGTTAAACCATCTCTATTCACAGATGACGTGACTTGTATACAGAAAATCTTAAAGAATCCACAATAAAAAACTATTAAAGCAAATAAACAATTTCATAAAGTTGCAGGGCATGCAATCAATATACAAAAATCAGTTATATTTCTCTATACCCACGAATAATCCAAGAATGGAATTAAGACAATAATTCCATTTACAATGGTGTTAGAATACAATACCTAAGGATAAACTTAACCAAGGAGGTGCAAGACTTGTACAATGAAAACTATAAAACGTTGAAAAATTATACAAGACCTAAATAAATGGAAAGACATCCCATGTTCATGGATAGGAAGAATCAGTGTTCTTAAAATGGTAATAATACCCATAATTATCTACAGATACAATGCAATCTCTATCAGAAGCCCACCTGGTTATGTTGAAACTGGCAAACTGGTCCTGAAATTCAGATGGAATTGCAAAGAACCCAGAACCCCCAAAACAATCTTTGGGGAAAAAAAGGAAGTTGGGGGATCCACATTTCCCAATTTAAAACTTCCTACAAATCTACAGTAATCAAAACAGTATGATATTGGCATAAGAATAGATGTATACACCACAAATCTTTTTTTTTTTTTTAAGATTTTATTTATTTATTTGAAAGAGCATGAGAGGGAGAGAAAGCACAGAGGGAGAGGGAGAAGCATGCTCCCTGCTGAGCAGAGAGCCCAATGCAGGGCTCGATCCCAGGACCCCGAGATCATGACCTGAGCTGAAGGCAGACGCTTAGCCTACTGAGCCACCCAGGCATCTCATAAATAAATAAAATCTTAAAAAAAAAAAAAAAGATATATACACCAAAGTGAATAAAGAGTCCAGAAATAAACCTCAACAGGTATGGTTAACTGATTTTTGGCAAGGGTGCCAAGACCATTTAATGGGGAAGGACAGTGTCTTTAACAAAACGTGCTAGGACAACTGGATGTCCACATGCAAAACAGTAAAGGTGGATCCGTAACTTATTCCATAAAAATTAAATCAAATGCATCAAAGACCTAAATTAAGAGCTAAAACTAAAAATAAACTAGACTTCATCAAAATATAACACTTTTGTGCATCAAAGGACTCCATCAAGGGAAGAAATGAAAAGATGACTCCCAGAATGGGAGAAAATATCTGCATCTCCTATCTGATAAGGATCTGGTATCCAGAATACAGAAAGAACTTTTTTTTTTTTTTTTAAGATTTTATTTATTTATTTGACAGAGAGAGACAGCGAGAGTGGGAACACAAGCAGGGGGAGAGGGAGAAGCAGGCTTCCCGCTGAGCAGGGAGCGATACCAGGACCCTGGGAACACAACCTGAGCCAAAGGCAGCCGCTTAAAAACTGAGCCACCCAGGC